ATATATATATATATGTGTGTGTGTGTGCGTGTGTTTGTATGTGTGTGTGTGTGTAATATATATACATACATATGGACAGATATAGATGTGATATGTATATATATATATATATATATGTGTGTGTGTGTGTGTGTGTAATATATATATATATATATATATATATATATATACACATACATACATACACACATATGGACAGATATAGATGTGATATATATATATGTGTGTGCGTGTGTATACACACTCCCAGAGACACGCGTACACACCCTAACTAGACCGGCACTGGTGATGTTCCCTACTTGGGTCGTGTCTGCCAGCAAAGGAGCCGCCTGAGGCCCCCAGGGGCCCCCCACATACATGTCCATGCATGCACCCCCCCCCCCCCCCCCCCCCCCCCCTCCGGAGGACCCCGAGGCGGCCCCGCGCCTCCCCCTCCCTCCCCCCTCCCCCCCGGGCGCTGACAGGCACCTACTTCCTGTTTTGGGTCCGGGCACTCGAGAGGCCAGGATGGAGGCTCCGAAATGCCAGGATGATGGAGCCGCCACGCCGCCACCGCCGCCGCCGCCGCCTCCCTCGCCAGCAGCAGCAGCAGCAGCAGCAGCAGCAGCAACAGCAGCCCAAGCGGCCCAGGCGAACCAGCAGCAGCAGCAGCAGCAGCAGAGGCCGTGGAGCGGAAGGGGGCGGCGCCGGAGGAGCGAGCACAGAGAGGCCCGCGCAGAGCGGACCGGAAGCGCCCCCTCTTTCTCTCCCTCCCCCGCCCGTTCTCCTCGTCTGCTCCGATGGGCGCCTTCCTCCCTCTCCCCCCTCCCCTTTTCAAAACCGTCTTTTTCTGTAGGGAGACGCCTCGCCCGGGAGAGGGGCTGGACGAGCGGGCTGGGGGGCGGGGGGGGCGGGCTTGGACCTGGAGGGGCTTCAACCTGGGTCCCCCTCCGCCTTGCTCTTTAAGGGCATCCCCTCTGGTCGGGATGGTCTGGTCTGCGCTTGGATGGGAGACCACGAGGAGATCCCAGGCATAGAGGGAAAGGCGGTGGAAGCCTCTCCTGTATCCCGGCCCATGCCTGGATACTTTGTTGGAATGAAATTTGCTTATCAGCCAATCCGTCATCCCTGTAGATGACAGGCTCAATACCAACAACAATAATAATTACAACAATAACAACAACTTGGTTGATACCTAGGATGCTGGCAAAACCCCGTATCAACTATCAGCACCAGTCAATGATATTTGTGATACATTTTTAAATGTTCAGTTGTCTGAGTTTCATGTTGAATGAATAAAAGAGATAATAATAATAAAATAAAATAAAATCCTCTGACGCTATCTGAACAGTTCCTATGTCCTTGGTTAGGACTTGATCTGTTGAGCTATCAACCAGCCCCAAAGGATGTGTATCTCACTAAAGATTAAATAATAATCATAATCATAATACAAACAATGTCACAACACAGTCGCTCAGATGGTCCACTGGAACTTGTGTCACAACTGCCATCTGCCTGTAGCAAAGAACCGGTGGGATCATAAGCCTGAAAAAGTGGTCGAAAATGAGCATGCAAAACTACTGTGGGACTTCCGAATACAGACTGACAAAGTTTTGGAACACAACACCCCGGATATCACGATTGTGGAGAAGACAAACGTGTGGATCGTCAACATTGCCATACCTGTTGACAGCAGAATTGACGAGAAACAACTTGAAAAAGTCACCAGATATCAGGTCTTGAGAATCGAACTGCAGAGACTCTGGCATAAACCGGTGCAGGTGGTTCCAGTGGTACTTGGCATACTGGGTGCTGTGCCTAAAGACCTAGGCAAGCACTTAAAAACAGTTGGTGCTGACAAGATCACCCTTGGTCAGCTGCAGAAGGCCACCTTACTGGGATCTGCTCACATAATCCGCCGATACATCACGCAGTCCTAAACGCTTTGGAAGTGATTTGTGATACGAAATCCAGCATGGTTATTTTTGTATAACAACAACAACAACAACAACAATAATAATTGACTTGAGTTGCTAAATTAATCCACTGGTCTTTATATAAAAATATGCCTTACCTGTATCTGAAAAGTCATGGGAGCACAAAGTAGAAAAAGTTGTTGAAAGTGAGATGGGTGGGACTTTCGAATACAGACAGATCATCATGTGGAGCACAACACACCAGATATCACAGTTGTCAAAAACCGAAACGGGGGAAAAAAATCATGAAATATCGCGACCTGCCCATTGAAACTATGCAGTTATGGATGAAACATGTCACAGTGATACCCATTGTCATCGTAGCACTTGGCACCATGTCCAAGAATACAAAACAGGAAAATACAAAAAAGAGAAGAAAAGAAAAAAGTGCGAGTGAGAAATGAAAAAAAAGGGAAGGAGAAAAAAAAAACCCTTTCCTTTCATCCCAGCAGACAAAAAACAATTTTAATACCTTATTTCCCTCTTTAAATAAAACATAACTTCTCCCATAGCTCATCTTTTAGATAAGGAAAACAAGAGACAAATGGTACATCAATCAATCTTTGTCAGCAGATCTTGACTGAGGGCAACCAGATGTGACTCTTTCTTTTAACCCTGATGAAAAAGCCAACCTCATATCAATCAATCAGGATAGAACTGAAAGGCACTCTGGAGGTCTTCTAGTCCAACTCAAGCAGGAAATATACTGTTTCAGACAAGTGACTACCAAGTGTTTTTGTGAAAGCCTCCAGTGATGAGAAGCTCCCACCATTTCTGGAGGCAAGTTTTCCCACTGGTTATAAACACTGCCTGATTTTTTTAAAAAAATTATTCTTTAACCCCTTCAAAAAAAAAAAAATACCCCTTACTTTGCTTCTCTCAGTTCAACATCCAGGGTTGATTCTCCTTGCAAAAGAGGTCTTGCTAGCCTGAGAAAGCCAGGAAGCGTCCAGACGTGCCATATATTATTTTCTGTGAGCAATTCCTGATTGATTCTCTGTGACTACTTGACGTTTTTACGATGATTACTTTCCTACAGTCTGGTAACCACTAGATGGCTCTCATCGCCACATTTCGGCTTTCCAGCCTGTAATTTCCGAAGAGTCCTTTTGGATTCTTGTTTTATTAAGGTTCCATTATTGAGAATAAATGTATCACGCCCATTGTCCATAGAACTGCGCTATCTAAAATACTTGGTACCAAGCACCCAGCCTGGCATGGAGGAGAGATCCAGCACAAAGTTAGAGGTATGGATGACCCACCTAAGCTCTTTGGAGCCCTATCTAATCGCTCCCAGGAGTAGCAATAGCAATAGCCCTTAGACTTATATACCGCTTCATAGTGCTTTTACAGCCCCCACTCAAAGCTGTTCACAGGGTCAGAATATCGCCCCCAACAACCTGGGTCCACGTTTTTACTGACCTGGGAAGGACGGAAGGCGGAGTCATCCTTGAATAGGTCAGGATTGAACTGCTGGTAGTCCGCAGAGTTGGCTTGCAATGTTGCATGCTAACCACTGCTCCACCATGGCTCTATCTATCTATCATCTATCTATCTACCTATCTATTTATCTATCAATCATCCGTGGGCAGAGTCAGCCTGCAATACTGCAAGCTAACCACTGCACCACAATGAGTAGGTTTTCAGACTGGGAAAGATTCCTGCATTATAGGCAGAACATAATAAAGTAGTTTATAAAGCCTGAACTCTGCACATCTGGGTCTGGTTTGCACCTGACATTTCTTGACTTGCTGAAAAGACCACTCAATTTTCTGCTGGCGTGTTGTTTATTTATTAAACTGATATGGCACCCATCGCACCACTGTGGGACTCTTATGCTTGTTGTACTGCACCAGCCTTTGAGGCATGCTTCTAGGTTATCAAATGTGGGAAACCAATAACAAAAGGCTAAGGTTCCCTTGTATTCAGTTTGACCTCCATCCAACCCAGGAAAATATCCAGTAGCACAAACATGCTTACTATTATGGTACTATTTTATTGTGTTTGTTTTTTTAAACTTCATGGACCAGCCTATCAGCCTGTCATCTCCTGATGGTCTCTCATCCATTCATCCAGCAGGGCTACGTACCTTTTGAAGCAATTCAGAACGTGTTCTACAGATATTGTGCCATATCATAGGGGAAGGAAAATTCCTGGTTTGGTCTGGATGTTGATTTTTAAAATTCTCTGCCTCGTCGTAGGCCTTTGTCTCCGATATTTTTTCCCCCCCACAAGTCCATCATGCATGGGAAACTGTCCTTCACGCTTTTCTCACTCCCAGCAATGATTTGAATATCCTTCGGCACCTTTTTTTTTTTTCCGTTTCCAAAGCTGGACCTGCATAGCATCTGTCAGTTTAGCGTTGCCGCCCACAGATGCCCACATACAAAACAGCCGTGGGAGGTTGTATCCCGATCTGGATTTTTCCCCCTGCAGAATGTGCTTGCTATTTTGGGAAACGACTCAGGAGGTTGGCTTCTCCAGAAACGGACAATGTTCTCAGGGACTGCAGATGAAATAGGTAGCCCCTTCCTGCATTTGGGCTCATTTCACCTTTGATTAATTCCACCTCCAATAGTTCAAAAATCTTTGAAGAAAGAAGTTAGAGAAGTTTTTTAAAACAAGTGGGGCTGCCCCAGAGAAGAAGAGGGAGTCAATCTATCCTCCAAAGCCCCTGAAGGCAGGATGAGAAGCAACAGATGGAAACTAATCAAGGAGAGAAGCAACCTGGAACTAAGGAGAAACTTTCTGACAGTGAGGACAATTCACCAGTGGAACAGCTTGCCACCAGAAGTTGTGGTGCTCCAACACTGGAAGTTTTTAAGAAGAGACTGGACAGCCATTTGTTTGGAATGGCATAAGGCCTCCTGCTTGACCAGGGGGTTGGATTAGAAAATCTCCAAGGCCCCTTCCAACTCTATTCTGATTAATTATTGGGTGAGATTCAGAATAATGTCAGCTGGTGCTCCGTTCAAAATCCAGGAAAGAAATACTTAGACTCTTGTAATTAGAGAAAAGATATCTTTTACTGGAAGTCAGTGGCAGCAACAAGAAATTCTGCATCTGGGTAATTAGGCACATCACATATATCAAGGGAGTGAAATGTCCCCACCCCCAACAGTTCAAATGGTTCTTCCAATTAAAGGTTGTGAACTACATCATGCGGACATCTCCAGGTGGGGATGATTAGTTGACCTTGGCTTACTCAGACAAAGGGTTGCAGTGGCGCAGAGGAAGCTAAGCAGGAATGAGAAGCCCTCCCCAGTTTATACAGTATTAGTTAGCAACTTTTGCAGCTTAGATCCCATACATTTCCCCCTTCCACCCCCCACACCCCCGTTACTCATGGCAGCCAGAAAGAAGCAAAGGAAAAGAGGAAGATCTTGAAGGCTGACAATTCCGACTGATTAATAGACAGTGAGAATAATTAATCAGTGGAACAGTTTGCCTCCAGGAGTTGTGGTGCTCCAACACTGGAGGCTTTTAAGCAGAGATCCACCTTTTTAAGAAGACAGCCACCTGTCTGAAATGGTATAGGGCCGTGATGGCGAACCCCAGGCAAATACCGGAAATACCGGAAGTGATGAAACGGGTCTGTTTTTCGGCCTCCAAAGGCTGCAGAGGCTTCTTTCAAGCCTC